TGACCTTGCGCAGATGTCCCTGGGAGTGTGGGGATGGCATCTGGCTCTTTGCAGCTGGTCCCTGTGTTGATGTTCCGGGTGGTGTGGTGGCAGTTCCCATGGAGAGCCTGTGTCCTGCGGACAGGGTGGCCTGTGTGCTGCGCCCATCCCTTCAGCGCTTTGTCCCACCACGCAGCACAGCCAGGTTTGCCGGCCAAGAGTGGCTGCTGCTTTGCCAGGGTTTGCGTGAACTTCTCTGTGCCACTTTCATGCATTTTTTGCCCTCCTGCCTACCCGCCCACCCTCGGCCTGCCTGCCCGCCCGCCCAGCCCCTTTCAGGCACAGTTGGCAGATCACAAAGGGTCCGTGTTGAGGTCCGTCTTCAAGAACTCAGTGGGCAGGCATGCTCCTGCGTTTCAGATGGATGGCACTGTGCTCGGTGTGAGGGCTGCCTGGGCATGACACAGTGGGGACAGACTTGCCTGTGGACGCTTGGGCTGGACTTGGCTGTGGTTGGGACAGCGGAGGCTGCTTTGACTGGCCCCAGGGGAGGGCTTCTGCCCTCTTCATGCACAGGGCTTCCTGGGAGGCTGGCAGTGTCCCTGGCCTCTGCGGATGTCGGTAGAATACCCATCTCCAGTTAAGACCACCCAGGTGTCTACAGATGTCCCCTCAGGGACAAAGCTGCTGCCAGTTGAAAACTCTGGCCTAGAGAATAATGGAAAATCAGATTTCTTGCTTGAAAGGATAAAAGCATGATTCCAAGTTTAAGGCCCGTCTGGGCAACTGAGACCTTGTCTCGGAATACAACAGGGGCTGGGATGTAGCTCTGGGAGCACCCCTCGTTCAGTTCCAAGAACTGCAAAACAAAACAAAACAAAGCCCAAACAACCACAAAGGAAACAGGAGGAGTTATGAGAATCACATCACATCGAGTTTTGAACCGCTGCAGTTGGTGGTAGAGAGCTGTTCACAGGCATCAGAAGAACCGGAAGAATCCACATGCATGTCTTTAGGTGAAAAGAACCTGGACCCTAGAGACGGCAGGGATGTTCCTATCAGGACTCCCCTGTGACATGCTTGTGTCTGGCTCAGTGGCCAGTGCTCCTGGGGAGGGGAATGGCCAGGGCTTGGGCCAGGAAGGCTCCCATGGTAGGTAGGACACCTGCTGAGGGTGTCCTACAGCAGCCTGCCCTGATGGGAGATGTGCCCGCAGCACTCGGAGACTGTTTCCAAACTAGGCCAACCTGCTGTGACCCCTGGAGCTTGGAAGGACATGACCCAGCCAGCTTCCCTGCCCCTGAGCAGGGCCCTGGCTGTGGGGGTGGGGACTGGCCACAGTTGTGTTTTCTCTAGCCTGTAACTGGAATCTAGCATTTCCTGCAATTATGAAAGCAGACAGAAACCCACAGCAGTCCCAGCAGTGCTGTGGCCTGTCACAGTGGGATCACAGGCATCTGGGTCACTGTGGAGTGAGGCATCGCCCAGTGCTCCTTGGAGGTGACCGTGGACTTGCTCTCAGTGGTGGAGGAGCTCAGGCAACTGTCCCCAGCCTCACTGCCTGGGCTTGCAATCCGCATATCATGCATCTGAATGTATTTGTGGGGAAGGGTCAGTAGATGTCCTTGGATGGCCGCAGGGTGGCCAGCACAGTAGGAGGCTGAGACCCTTGCTCTGGCAGCCTGTGGCCGTCTTCCAGGGGCCTCTGGATGCCTGCTGGTGGAGGACAGCCGGCTTTGGAGGCCCCAGCCCTGGTCATCCTGTCTTTCGTGGCCAGTGTCTGTTAGCATGTTCTATTTATAAATGAAATGGACTGCTAAAAATTAAATTTCTACAAATTGTGCTTTTGGTTCACAAATATTAAAGTGAATTTTAAACACAAAGCTTTGATGAAATTCACGTAGTGTTCTCTTCCCATGGTGTGTCGCCAGCATTCCAGAAGGTGTTAAGTCTGAGGGTGACGCATGACCCCAGGATCCTGCCCAGGGCACTGGGCACAGGCAGTGTGGTCCAGCTCTGAGTGTCTGTGTGGCCACCACGCTCTAGTTTACCTTGAGATGCTCTTGCAAGGTTCGCATCACCTGGAATAATTGGAGATGTAGAACTGCAACCCCCCCAGACCCAGCTTGGAGCCCGTGCCTTACCACCCCCCAGGGGCACTCTGCACCTAGAGGTTGGGGGCAGCCGCTCATCTCCACAGCTGTGACGACAGGGGAGCTGCGGAGCCCAGGTGTCTAGACCGCATCCCACAGGACACCCCAGGTGTGTGGCAGCCCTGGAACCACAGGTGGAATGTGCCCTGCGTACCTGGTGGCTGCTCCGCGGCAGACCCGCCTGTGTTGGGGGGCCAGGATGAAGATTATGAAAACTTGACTTTGAAGTGGAGGTGCTTCTTTATTTACCCTGATCAAATTGGATGGTATGTATTTTACAGAAAGATTGGCACCTGCTTCCTGGCAGGCTTGTTCTCAGTTCAGGGGATCCTGCGGTGAGCAAAACGAGACGCCACAGACCCCTGCCCCTGCTGGACCCCAGGAAGTTCTGTGCCACAGTGACCAGTGCGTTTGGACGGGAGGGCAGGGAACAGCTAGTGCAGAGGCCCCGGCAGGTGGGACACAGCGTCCTCTTTGGGAAGAAAGTGATCCGTGGGCCAGGCTGCAGGGGCAGGCAGCAGGACCTCAGTGGGCCGTGGCGGGGCGAGCCCTGGAGAAGGAGGGTTGGCAGCGGTACAGGGCCCCGTGTCGTCATTCCCTTGGAAACAAAGCAGGAGACTTATCCAGAGAATCTGAGCTGGGGGACGTCTGGCCAGGGGGAGTTGGGTCTGTTGGCCTCTGGGCAGGAACGGAAGGCAGTGCTGGGACCCGTCAGGCCCGTCTCCTGCACCTCCAGCTGCCGATGGGCGTGTGGGCGAGCGTGAGTCAGAGAGCATCTGAGTTGAGCTGCGTGGGTCACGTGGGCAAATGAGCCTGACCAAAAATAACCCAAAACAGCATTTCTGGGAATCGCAAGTGAAGGCAGCTTTTAATGTAAACAAAGGAGCAGAGAAGACGAAGGCCGTTGGGAAGAATGGACGTCTGCAAAGCTGAGAAGAAGTGCTTTTGGGAAATGCTGAGGAGGACACGCGTGGCGTCCAGTGGCTGTGGTTTTCCAGTGTTTCCTTTTTTTCCTCGCATCAGAGGGAAGCGTGTGGTCTGACTGGGCAGCTTGCAGCTTCCCCAGGCTCCGGGCTGTGGCGGGGACCAGCCTTGGGCCTTCCTGTTGATCCTCGGGGAGCACTTCCTGCCGTCCCTGTGGGCAAGCAGTGCTGTCCCCATGTGAAGCCTGTGCCTGGGTCAGCCTGACGATCGGTTGGCACTGCGCACAGAGCACAGAAGGCCTCCCAGAGCTCCTGCCTGGTTGCGTGCCCATACCTCAGGGCTCAGTGCACAGCAGGGTTGAAGGCCACTGCTCAGGCCTGGGGTCGGGGTCAGTTGCACTCCTGTCTGGGCAGGTGCTGCTCTGCTGGCCAGCCACACTGGCCCCATTGTCTCCGTTCTTGGGACCAGGTGTTGGGGCTCCACACCAAGTGGGTAGCAGAGCCTGCAGGTGGAGAGCCAGCAGCCAGGGGACCCAGTTGGCTGCAGTCGAGTTCAGGTCTCTTCCGTGCTGCCCCAGGCCCATGTTTCCTGTTGGGAACGAGCTGGCTTCTCCTGGGCTGGACTCGTGCCCCGCCTCTGCTTGCTGGTTGTCTTGGTTGCTGGGAAGGGTTCACCTCTGGAATGCTCAGGCGTTGGCTGAGGGGGGGGGGGTCTTCTGAACTGGAGGAGCCCGCCCTGTCAAGTCACTAGAGGTCAGTAAAATGTAACTTACTTTTGTTTTCCTCCACAGTTGATTATTCTATTTAAAGTATCTAAACTTGTGAAGTCCTGCGTTTCAGTGTACAGTGAGGTCACACTCCGCAGCACAAAAGAACTTACAGAAATTTCTATCTAGTGAACCTAAAGAATTTACTTCTATCAAGTAAACCTAAACACTTGATTTTTACATTTGTGTATTTGAGTCAGAAAAATATGCTTTATATGTAAAAAAACCTTCACCTTCACGTCACATTAGATGTTGGAACTTGACACCTACTTCAATGTCATTTAACCTACTGACACTTGGTTCTTAGACATCTCAGACTGCTAGGTTCTTGATGTTTTCTCAAATTTGTGCTATGAAGTGAAAAATCTGTAGTGATGTTCAATGGAATAAAGGACTCCAAAGATCAAATGGAAGTCTCTCATTTTATATCTGCAAAAGTAAGCTTATGAAAGTATAAAATGAATTATCAAAGTGTTAAAAAATTTGACTTTCTTGATAATGCCTTGCGATGTTATCCAGAGAGCCGGCTCTCTGGAGGAGGCTGTGTGCCTGGGATTTGTTTTACGGAGTTCCACGAAGTTAAAACTCGCCTGGCCTGGGATGTGCGGCTTTTCCAGTCGGGCCCCTGCAGCTGTGTCTTTGGGTCTGTCTGTAGGGGCCGAGGCTATTTGCAGATGCTCAGTGTAGACACTGGGTCTCGACGGGTCTCCCCAGGGCTCTTGGTTCACCAGCCCTTGAGACTGGAGACGGCTGCTCGCGCTGCCCAGCCAGCTCCGCGGGGTGCTGCTCTCTCCCTGCCTTTAGACGTCTTATGTCATTCAAGGTTTGTAGCGGATAGTGTCCGGTCCTGTTGTCATTTGTGTTCTAAGGAAGGGTTTTGTTTGAAGAAATATGAAAATAAGGTTTTGCTTCGGCTGGAGGTTTACCACTCATGCCCCTGGGCTGTGGGATTCTGTCTTGTCAGGCGAACCGCGGCCCAGGACAAGCCCCTGTGGTTGGGCTGTTCAGTTCTGGTGGAGAGGAATGGAGAGGTGGAAGTTCTGTCTTTCTTGGGAAGTATTTACCCTTACAGTAGTGGTTCCTGTTTTATTAAAAAACTGAAACCAAGGCCGGAGGCATGAAGGTCATTCCAGGTTAGCTAAATGGAGAAAGTAAGATGGCCGTGTCTCTTTCCCCAGATGGCTCCGCGACCGGAGGCCCCGCTGCACGGCGTCGGCAACAGCCTGGAGAAGGCGCTGCACACCTCGGCACATTCCACGGAGGAGGCGCTGCCCAAGAGGCCTGTGGGGAAGCACGGCAAAGGTGGGTCACCTGGGCTCCTGCGGGCACGGGCGCGGGCGCTGGGTGGTGATGCGTCTCTCGGGCCTTTGGCTGGTGCCCGCTGCGGGCCCAGTCAGGGAGCAGTCTCTGATTCTGCAGGTGACACTGAGCATGCTTTCGCACACTGCTGTGCTTATTAAGAGGGGACCCAGCTCCCTCCAGCCCAGAGGAAGCCTTGGGTTCTGGAGCAGTGCTGTCCCCGAGTGGCCTAGAGTGTGGTGCCCTGCCACCTCCTGCCATGCCGAGTCCTCCCCCTGCCTGGACTGGGTGCTTCTGGGCACCTGTGCCCCATGGCCCCTGGTGTGGCAGCGTAGCCCAGGGCATGAAGCTCGGTAGCTGGTGGGGCTGTTGTGGGGGCGTTTCACAGGAGGCTCTTGGTCCTTGTGGCTGAGTGTGTGACTTCTGCAGCCCTCAGAGAGCCACAGAGCCACGCTGTTGTAGATCGGACTGGCCGTGGGTAGCACAGATGCCCGAGAGAGAGAAGGCGCTTCCTGGGACCAGGCAGGTCCATAGATGGTCCCCGGGGTCTGAGCAGAACTGCCAGGGGAGATGAGGAGGCGTGTCCTGATTGGGTCCTGTGTCCTGTGGCCCTGCTGTGACCGGCAGGGTCCCCCTTGCCGTTTGTAAACATGTTTGTCTCTTGTGCATGGCAAGCTGTGGGGGGCAGGCTGCGCACTTCCTTCTCTGCTTTCTTGGTCCCTGGGTCTCATCTCACAGCAGCGTGGTAAGCGTGTGTTTCCACAGAGCCCTGTGCCCACCTGGTCATGGAGCTGTTCTGCCTTGGTCTTGGCCTGGTCAGCTCAGGGGAGAAGCAGCTCCTTGGCAGCTGCCCGTGTTCTGTAGTGTGAGTGCATCATGGGGCGTGGGCAGTGGCCTGTATTTGCAGCACTGTGAGGCGGGGGGACCCTGTCCTTGGAGTCCTGTGCAGCTGCGTGGTCTAGTTTTGCCTTTCACTCACTTTCCTGTGGTGCTGGGGAAACGCAGCATCTTGCATGTGCTAGGAAGCTGCTCTGCCCCTGAGCCACGTCCTAGCCTTTTGGTCACAGTCGTCTGAGTTGCTGTCCTCCTGAGAGACTGTGACCCTTGGCCGAGAGTCTCCTGTGTCTCCTCATCCTGGTGATGGAGTGGCACTCCAGAGCCGGCATGGAGAGTCACCTGGGCAGCCAGCATGGGAGCGGCTGCACTGGCTCTGCCTTCTCCTGCGCATCTTCCAGGACACGGGCCACCTGGAGCGCCACCTCTGCCCGCCGGCAGTGCAGCCTGGGAGCCCACGCCGCGGCCTGGGGTCGGAGGGTGGCTGCTTCTGTACTGTAGTTGGGTTTTTAAAAGATACATAGTTTTCGTGCTGGGGTGTGGCTCAGTGGCAGAGGTGTTAGGCACTGGGTTCCATCTTCAGCACCACTATAAACAAATAAAGAAAGAAATAAAATAAAAGCCTTGTGTCCATCTACAACTAAAAAAAAAAAAGATATATAGTTTCAAAATATGGCTGCTGTGTTGATACTTTGGTGCTGAAAGGCAGGGACCATGGGAACAAGCCAGTCCCGACAGCAGCTGTGGCAGGGCAGGAGCTGGAGGCTGATCTTGATGAGGCCCTCGTGTCCCTCCACAGAAGTGCTCGGAGCCGCTGGATTCCACAGCATCCCCCCCTGCAGCCCCAGGTCCTGGCCGGCAGAACCTGGCATCCTGAGTCACCCTCGCGGTCTACCTCGCTGCTCTCGGCTGCAGCTCACTGCTGACGGCCTCCTCCCCGTCTTCTCTGTGTCCACTTGTGTTTGGGTTTTTCTCTGCCTCTTTGGAAGTCTAAAGTGACAGGCTTCACTTAGGTCAGACCTTGGGACGCCTTCCCTGTGGCAGAGCAGGGAGCTTTGGTCGGGGGCTGGCTTGCTGCTCGAGGCAGGCAGGGTCCCAGGTTCCAGGTGCCACCCGGCTGGCTCGGGACCTTTCTCATCGCCTGGCACCCTGACCACACATTGTTTCTAGCCGCAGTCCCTGAGGAGGCTGTCATCCCACGTCACAGACGGGAGCCGGGCCACAGCAAAGCTGGGAGGCAAGCCCAGAGCTTATGCTCCACGCTCCCATTTGGGGTGAACTGTGACCTTTCCCCTTTGCTTCTCGCCACGGAGATGGTACCCACTGGCAACCAGCTGCCGCTGCAGAGAGCCACAGCTCACTCTGTGCTCGTGCTGAGCGGGTGCCTGGGAGGACCTTGCAGACTGGGGTCAGTTTCCCAGCTCAGTCGTCTGCTGTCAGGGAAGCCCAGAGCTCTGCCTGAGGAGGAGACTCTTTGGAGAATGACCCAGGGAGGACATCTTGGGGCTTTGCTCTTTGGACCCAGGGTACCTGTGACCTCCCTTCCTGCCATCCAGCAGTCAGCCAGGCCCTGGGCAACGTACCTGGGGCTCTGTGCTCTCGGGCCCCTCTGCCTTCTTGAAAGCTGGAATTCCGAAGGCTCTGCAGTTCGGGGCATCGGTCTGGGGGTACTGCCTTCACACGGAGGCGTTTGGGTTTGTTTTGTGCCACTGAGACTTTTGCGTTTGTTACAGCGCAATCGTAACAGGAGATAGCCTGGAGCCTGAACCGTAGCTGTCTTGTGCTTGTGTAGGACCAACTCCACCAGGTCAGCGCAGTCCTAAAGGGCAGGACTTAGAGTGGAATCTGGGGCCACCTGGCCAGCAGCATGAGGTTTCCGTGTGAGGTGGGGGCTGAGGACCTTGCAGTGCCATTTGCTCTTTTCTCTGTTCAGGTTTGTGCTGGGGACTTCCACACACAAAGGAAATTCAGAGCATTTTGCAGTGAGTTCTACTGAACTTCGTTTTACGTTTCTTATTATTTTCATATAATTTCTTTTTTTCTTTTTTTTTTCAGCTATAGTTGGACACAGTACCTTTATTTTTATGTGGTGCTGAGGATCGAACCAAGCACCTCGCAGGTGCTAGGCAAATGCTCTACTGCTGAGCCACAACCCTAGCCCCTTCATTTAATTTTTTTCCCCCATTTTTAAATTTTTTGCATTTCTGGGGATGAGCCCAGGGCCGTGTGTGTGCTGGGCAGTGGTCGCTGACCTTTGAAGGCTGGTGGCCTGCCTTGCTGCTAGGGGCACCGGGTCCCAGGTTCCAGTGCCTGAGATCCTGTCTTTTTCTTTTTTAAAGTCTTTTACCTTTATTTTTTGTTTATTTATTTATTTCTATGTGGTGCTGAGGATCGAAGCCAGTGCTCCCCACCTGCCAGCCTCCCTCAGCCCGGGTCCTCGTGGAGCCATAGGACACAGCTGTTTGAGTGACTGCTTCCTCAGCTTCCCTAAGGAAAATGTGAATAGAGGCACAGGGATGAGGCCACCTCACCTCACACTTGGGCTCTTCCATGGAGCAGACGGGTCCTCGCGAGGCCCAGCTGTGCTGGCCGGGCACGGTGCACATCTCCGGCTGCCCAGGCTGTACAGATGGGCCCAGGGCGCCAGGCGTGGCCTGCCCTCGGGGCCGCAGCTGTGTGGTGCAGCGCTAGAGCTCCGCGCACCCGGAGGAGGTGCAGGTCTGCTCACTGCTGGGCCGCCCTCCGCCTCCTGGCGCTGGGCTCCGTTGTCCCTGCAGCTGGCTGGCCTGGCCCTCCAGTGCTCGCCTACTTAAGATGGCCTCCGTTCTGTGACTTCGTTTGGGCCCAGGCCGAGATGCTGGGTGGAGAGTCGAAGACCTCGCGTGGGTGTCCCGCTCTCCTCCGCCTCGGTGGCGACGGGCACGTGCTCTTTCCCTGGCCACTGCCGCGTCCTGGTCCGGCTTGCCTCCAGCATCCCCAGAGGGTGTTCTTGTCGTCATTCCTTCTTGTCTCCCACTGACTTTGGGGCAGCTTTCAGCCATCCTGAAATCCTGCTCGCTCGCTTGGCTCCCCTCTTCACCGAGGCTCCGGTTCCAGGCGTGAGGAGCTGGCGGCGTCTCTTAGACCCTGCGGCCTGCCGCCTTCCCAGCCCGTCCACCCTGGAGGCGCGGTGCTGTTTTCTCGTGCGGCTGCTGCGGGGCCTGGTGGGGTCACGCCGGCTGCTGTGCCGTTCAGTCTAGAGCTTCTGTTGGGTGCTTTTCGTGGAGCTTTGGTTCCTCTGCTGAGATTCCTGTCTTTTTCTTTCTTAAACTCTTTTTCCCTTTATTTTGTGTTTGTTTATTTTTATGTGGTGCTGAGGATCACACCCAGTGCTTCACACGTGCCAGGCTGAGCCGTTTCCTATCCATTTCTTTATTGTCACACTTTTTAAATTTTCTAGGTTCTTGAGCGTGGTGGTGATCACCACTTCCCAGCCCTGGCCTGCTACCTTCAGCAGCTGGGTGGTCTGGCTCAGTGTCCCTGGACAGAGACTGCTTTTCTCTTGAGCTTTCCTGTTTTGGTCAGTGATTGCAGGTGGACTCCTTACACGTGACATGCGGCCGACGCTGTGGGCCTGATTGGTTCTCCTGCAGGTGTTTTTCTTAGGGCAGGGGATATTGGCTGCACAAGGTCAAAACTCCCTCTTTCATGTGGTAGATAGCAAGCAAAGTCTCTCCTGTTCTTTGACCTGTAGCTTGGCTCCGTGGGGTCTTCTCCACCGTGTGGTTTCACCAACCCCAGAGGGCTGGGGCCCAACGAGCCTACCCCACGCCGGCACGTGGGCCTCTGGCGCTGCTGTCAGGGAGAGCTGCAGCGGCTCCTGGTGGCACACCTGGTGGGTCTTCACCTGACATTGCGACCTCCCCTAACTCTGCCCCCCACGTGCCAGTGTCCCTGGGCCTGTGCCCCTGGTCTCCTGAAAGCCTGTGCCTGCCCTTCCTCTCGGCCCTCGGCTTTCTCTCCGGCACTCCTGTCTACCCCCGATGGAGTGGCCCTGAGCTCCCTTCTGTCCCTCCCAGTCCCCCTGAGTGGTCTTGTCTAAGGACGCCGGGGTCTGGAGTCCAGCTGAGACCCTCCAGCACTGCACTGGAGGAGTGGGCAGTGCTCATGACTGCTGCCGCGCTGGGCCC